TTCACTGTAAATGATGATTATTTTATGTTTACCTGCAAATCTAATTCTGCTGTGGAGCCGCAACAGAGCAGTAAAAGAGCCGACTGCAGCTCCGGAGCCGCATGTTGCCAAACCCTGGTCAATGCCTATAAAATTGTATAATAACTTTCTCACACAGAAAGTTATTATACAAAATGATTGCTGATATGCAATCATTTTGGCCTAAAACATATTTGTAAATCCGTTTATGACAGATAGGTGCAAGTGTTGTAAGGCAAAATAGTACTTAAATAGTAATGCTGATAATCTTACCATTATCAGCATTACATAAAAAACCTCAAGAGACCAGCAAAGGTTCACTGGTGTTTTTGGATAGTAAATGACAATCCAGAATTCATTGTAGACATCATGACCCCTGGTTCCTATCACAGTATAGAAATCTGAGTTGGTAAGTTTCCCTGTAGTGCTCCATTTCACATCAAGCTACATGACCACAAACTCTTGGACAGTAAAGTGTGTGTAACATTTAGAATTCCAATCCATCTCACTAGATTAATTACAGTTTCATGACCAAAATAGATGACATCATCAACTTTTACTGAACTGCAATATTATTGTGTTCATTTATTTCACAAAGACTCTGTTACTGTCAAAGTCAGAGTTTCTTGGACGGTAAAGTTTGTGTGACATTTGCAGTTCCTTTCTGTCCCACTAGATGAATTAATTTCATGACCAAATTAAAGATGACATCATACTTCAACCACAACTTTACTAAACCGCAATATTATTGTGTTCATTTATTTCACAAAGGCTCTGTTGGCACAAGCCTAGCTTACTGTTGTGTGTGGGGGAAACAACATTTTCTACATAGCTCTATGGAAAACCCCTATTAGGTTAGTATATTAAGTGTGTATGTGTTTACCTTTGTATTACTGAGTGTACATGTTGGCTGGTTATGTGAACATGTGTGTGTGTGTGTGTGTGTGTGTGCATGATGGATGTGTTAGTACTGTAACACTCTGACAGCTGAAATCCTGTCTGAACAGAGCTCTCAGCTCATGCTGGTCTTTCTGTTCAAACCACGTCATTTTCCGTGAGTAGGGAGAGTAAGCTCCAATCCAGTCTGCCATTCATAAACAGGATGTCACCACCCCGCCGTTCTTACCAGGGCAGAACGACACTGGGAAAAAGTTGCATTGAAATATGTTGATTACTGGAAGAACGACCACGGTTTTTGAAAAACAAAAGTTTATACAGAATAAGTGTTCCCATAAGAAGCTAATTATCGTTCTAGTAATGGACAGGGTGTCTTTAAAGGGAGAAGGCAGTAGTTCAGTATGCCATGGACAAAGTAGTGAAGTGAATCGTGCTACCAGGGCTGTCAAAGTTAACACATAGATAACAAAGCTGTAATAATATTGTAATAACATGTTAACACAAATTATTATCGGCACTATTTTTTACTGCCATTAACGCATCTTCCTAGTGACTCTTTGAACTATCTGTCGTAGTGCAGGCTGAAGCATGATGGCTGAAGCACACACTATATGTTGCTATGATGGGATTAGCTAATGTGGCCCCCTCGTTATGAGCTGTGTGAACAAGAGTGAGAAGTCTACAGTCGTGAAGGAGTTGGAACCATTGACTGTACTTACGTAACGGGCAGCATTATATACATTATTTGAATATAATGTATATAATGCTGCCCTTTGTATTGTATGAAAATATGATGAATTGACAAACTGCGTGAAAGAAAATCTCTTACATTGACAGTTGCGAAGGTTTTTTTTCTTCTTCTGTGAAGTTACTACTTTGGAGATACAAGGTTTTGTTTTGACAATATGCAACCACTGTTGCTCTCACTGGATGTCGATGACGAAAACTATAAACTGTGTTCACCCTCAGACCCATATGAACCCTCTGTTCACATGATAATGTTATTGAATTACTGAAAGTGATAAATACATTCTACTGAAGCTTATTTTATCCACTTATATAGCTGTAGCAAAGTACACAGCTTTTTAAAAGTCTTTCTTTAGGGTCAGATTTGAGCAAAAATGTCAAATGCTATTAATTATGATGAGCTACACAACATAATATGATTAAATATTGTAATTATTAGACCTATTTGCTACACAGCCCTAGCTGCTACATGTTTCTGTTGCAATATGCCTTCCGACATGTTGAAAACAAAGTGAACAGTGAAAGGATGAAAACATTATTTTCAAAATTATTTATATTTGGTGGGTCACAGGGATGCCTTTATTTATTCCAGCACTCAAAGGACTTTTATGACTGGTCAGGACGCTGTGATTATTTATAGGGCTCATTTGCATATTGGATGCTTCTGCAATATTAGTATTTGCAAAGGCAGATGTCACAATAACAACAAATGGATGTATTGTACAGCCCTAAGCATTGTCCACCGTCCCCTGTTTCCCTGGTTCATGTAGTGGAGAGGAAGAACCATGCTGGACGAGAGAGGCCAAGCACATCAGTGAACAGGCTGGTCAAATGGAGGAGAGATTTATTTTTCTTGAACATGTTAACAGCACTTGGAAGTAGTTCACATTGGAAATGATACTGCAGCAGCCCTGGTTGTTCTGTGCAGAGTTTTCATGGCGAGCAATAGTCTGTGGCATAGAACCGTCTATGTTTATTAGCAGAACATTAGCTGTGTGTCCTGCACGAGGTAAAATCAGTACTGTGAAATTCCTGAAGCATTTTTGGTCATATAGCTAATGTTTTAAAAGCTTTTCCCTTCTTCTGAACACATTCCTCACCTCTGAGCTCAAGCGCCCATCTGCCAGTAAATACACAACTAGTGACTCAGACCTCTTTAAGTGCCTGCAGTATTTGCCACAGCTCAGCTTGCTTTGGCCACATGCCCTCAGGGGGGGCCCTGTAAGGTGTGGCCCCTTTCTGGTAAGCCTGGTGTGAGGGCCCCTGATCTGCCAAGATCACAGGAAAAGGCCTGCTTTTCTTCAGCAGCACTGAGTCGAGTGTTAAATGATGTCTTAGCACCTAGCTGACAGCATACACAGCAGCGTTGTTCCAAACACACATACCCACCTGATGGCGTATATGTTGGGGCCTGGGTGTGGAAAGGTGGGAGTGGGGGAGATATGTTTCTGTCTGTGTTTATGTGTATACTGGTCACATAGCTAATATATTGAAATTGGTATGTAAAATTTGGCAAATGTGACCATTATTCAGCAGTCTTAAGTTGGTAAGTAACCTATAATCAAGGATCAAAGTATCACTTATAAAGCAGACTGTTCCGGCTCTGAAATCTGATTGGCTGAGCCACATATGAAGCTGGAGCCATTGTAAAATCCTTGATATATGCACACTTATGAGAGCACACATGAACTGAATTCTGTATTAACACACCTAGATAGTAAAAATAGCAATTTTAAGAACCTGATTTGGTTCAAAAAATAAGTAAATAAATAAACTCTCCAAAATTGTAACTAGAAACCAGAGAATGCAAAAATATTCCCAAGTTAATGGAAAGACACTCCGTTCCAAGCAATTTGGCCTGTGCTCCGTTGATGTAGAAAAATAAAAATCTGAAAAAAATTGGACCAAAAACTAAATCAAATGTCTGGAATATATAATGATGGCCTACTAAAAGTTCTATATTCTAAACTTATAAGATTATATTTAACACTCATAACTATCCCAGGTTAAAGCTGCACTATGTAATATTTCTGTAATATAAAATTGAAAGAAGTAGCATTACTGAGTCAAAAAATGTGAAATATGGTGTCCATATCTTCACCCTGTAAAGCCTGAAATTCAGAAGTGTCAAGTCGGATTTTCTGGGAGTTTTTTCAGACTACATCATGTATGTTTACATAATAATGTCACACACAGAGCCTCAGAAAGAAGGCCTAGCTCAATGTTTAGGTCTCAAAAGCAAAATCAACCTTATACTGATGAAGATATGATGATAATAGTAAGTCATTCGCTCACATCCTCGGGGAGACACGTCAACAAGTTGTCTTTAAATACACTTTTGACACGCTCGCAATCAGCAGATTCATCTGTTCAGACCCGTTACAAAATTGTCTTCCATTCTTCTTTCACTGTGTGCAATTGCACATTTCCACCAGAGGGGCCTCCAAATCTATAAATCCCTAAACTTACATAGTTTAGCTTTAAAACGAACAGAAACATAATTAATGTGTATAGCTTTGGCTTAGTGTGCCTCAGTAAAGCTTGAAAGCCGTCATGATCCACCACGTCCTCTGTCATTTTGCACATTGGAAAACATTCCTCAACTTGAATGATAAATCCACATACTTAAATAGGAACTGTTGATTATTGAAAATGGAATAAAGTGAACATTTTTTAACCAATAATTGTTGTTGAACAATTGTTCATGTGTTGGTTAATGGTAATCATTTACATCCCTATTTCAAAAACTTTTAAAACATTGGGCTTCATTCACCAGCCGTTCTTAAGAAGAAATTTCTTCTTAAAACCCACTTAAGCAGTTTTCACAAACGTTCTGACAGATTGTGGAATTTGTTCTTGGGTAAGAACAGAATCTACACACACTCAAGAGCACAAATGTGTGAACAGTTCTGTGGTTTAAGAACACACCACGAATCTGACCTAGACTTTTTCTTTCTCAAGAACAGATTCAGGAATCTTAGGACTACATTGGTGAATGAAGCCCAATATCTTTTACATATACTGTGTGTGTTTGAATGGTGTGTTTCCTTGCTGTATGTTGAGTCTCTTCAGTTTTCCTGCACACACAGTAGAGGTGTAAAATGAACTCATCCTGACTTCAACTAATATTAGACTTGCTCTGTAGCTGTGAATTTGTCTTCATTCTGTGCTGAGGATTTTACAGTAGAGATTACTGTTGCCTTCTTTCAGTGAATATGATTACATGATCATGAGCTTTTACAGGATGAAAGCATTTTATTTCTGTCCCACATTTTTATTGAATTTGCCATTTTGCGCTATATCTTTCTCTCTCTCTCCCACTCTCTCCCTCTCTGCAGGCGCTTGGATGCTAACCACATCACGGTGGTGCCAGAGGACAGCTTTGAAGGCCTGCAGCAGCTCAGGCACCTGTGGCTGGACGATAACAGCCTGACCGAGGTCCCTGTGGGGCCACTGCAGCACCAGGGCAACTTGCAGGCTCTCACGCTGGCCCTCAACCGCATCACACACATCCCAGACAACGCCTTCGCCAACCTCTCCAGCCTGGTCGTCCTGTGAGTGACCCTGCACTTCACACAGCTTTAGATAGAGAATTCAGCTACAGTGCTTTACTGTTTAGCAGCTTTTGTAGATGCCCTGAGTCTTTTATGATGAGCTTCACATTTACTCCATTCAGTACTGCACAAAAGTCAGACATCATTTATTTCATTTCTGCTCAAAAAGTCTATTTTTCAGTGTCAGGAAAAAGGGGTAGAAAACATATATTCATATACACAGAAGCCTCAGCAACTAAATATAATATCATTTTGTTTTAAAGTTTTAGTGTCCCATTCTTTGCCTTTATTACAGTTTCCATTCTTTTTGGAAGACTTGCTTTTTAGTTTTTCAGTGGAATATTTTTACACACAAAGTTCAGTTTTAGACGTTGGTTGCATTTCCTGCTTCTCACAATCCAAGTAATTCCGAACACATTCAATGTCAAGGTCTAGAACAGGGGTTGGCAACCCAAATGTTAAGAAGAGCCATTTTGTTCTTTTAACATAAATCAAACCACCTTGGGAGCCGCTACATTTTATTGAAGTAACACTTTACCATCTCAGCTGAAAATATGTCTTAATATGTGCAAGCTGATGTCAGAGTATAGATGAAAAAATAAACGAATTCATTTATTGTTAAAACTGTGTTACAACGATCAACAGGGCTTTATTTTAGGAGGATTATTTTATTTTTTACCTAAAAATCCAATTCTGCTGTGGAGCCACAACAAGGCAGTAAAAGAGCCGCATGTTGCCAACCCCTGTTCTAGACTCAGCAGCTTCTTTGTTTGACCTGGTCTGCCAGCTCTTAAATGATGATTAGGAATCCCATTTTTTGAACTTCAGTTGTAAAATGTCCTTATTGTCCTTTGTCTTTCTTCTTCCTTAAGCAAGATTATCTTGCATATAATCTTCTCAGAAGTATCTCCTAAAAACATGTACTTGTTGGTTCTATTGACAAGAAATTAAATACAGGAAGGTGGTCAGAGGACTTTTGTGCAGTACTGTATGTACACTTTCATCAGTTTCTCGATAAAATCTAGGAACTGATGAATTACTATTGAAGCATGGATACTTCTGTTCCTGATTTCCTTAAGAGAAGCCATTTTAATGAGACTGAATGTGTACCTGATGACAGAAAAAAGTTGACTATAGTAGATAAAAGTAGAACAGGAACATATACAACATATACAACATATACACATATCAGCCTAAAATTTGGTTGTTTGAATCATTAAGACTCATGATCTTTTAAAACACTTATATCTTGAAGAGCACAATTTCACACTAATAAGTTGATAAATTGGCACATGCAAGCTTATAATGGACATATTACTTAAGACTAATGCAAAATTGTTTAAAAATATGCAAAGTGGAGGTTTATTGGGCTACTCAAATGACTTGTTACAAGGAGATCATGGAGAGTCAATAAGGTGCTCTTTGGTAACAAGGTTGGAGATCCCAATATTCAAAATTCACTTCAAACAAGGCACTCTTAAGTGTTATGATTAAATATAAGATTAAAACTCTCTTTTTTTTCCTGGGCAAATCCATGTAAAAATATTAAAAAGGCTATGGTAACTTGCTCTCCTGCCCTAGCCTTTATACCATTTTTATATTTTTCCCTGGAAATAAAGGCAATTATAATCTTTAATTTAACACCCTAGTGTCGCCCATCCTTAATGATATCTAGACTCTTTTTTTTTTCTCCAAGTTTAAGTTGGGAACTAAATAGGGCAATTGTCATTGGTGGTACATGATAGAGGTAAACTTGTAGAAGATGTAAACCTGCCCCTTATGTTTGGCTCCATGACTGTACACTTTTGAAATGTACAGTTCTATAGTTAGTCTGTGAGGCTTTTATTATTTATGACTACTTTTTAGTCCAACCCTGTTGCAGCTGAATGATGTGATACCGTCTTCCAGTTTGTGTCAGTCAGCACTGCTGTAGGTGTGCAATGTCTTTAGCACTCCCTCCGCCCTCTGATAATCTCTTCACCCTGTTCCTGATTCCCCTACTGTGTCTTTTATCACAAGTCAGCTAAATCCATCAGCGTCCTGCACAAACATGAGGCCTAGGTCGCTCATAAAACGCCCACATGCACGCACACACATGCACACACACCCAGGTACACACACACATACACACACAGGTAAACTGTTGTGTTGACAGAGGCTTTTTGGAAAAGAGTGAAGGGAGAATCCAAAATGTACCCAAGTGCCTTGCAACCTCGAGCAAGAAACTAGAGCCCTTAAGTCTGTCTCTCTCTCTCTCTCTCTCTTCTCTCTCTCTCTCTCTCTCTCGTTCTCTCTCACTTTTTCTGGAAGCTTCTCTGTGGGTCTGATTTACCAATTACATTCCTTCTGCTGGAAAATATTTGTCTAAGGAGTGGAGGCCAATTAATCCGTTAAGTAGGTTGAACAAACAGGCAGACGTGCGCGAGTACTGATGAGTTCTCCGCTCGGAGAACGCCCGAGTGCTCCGCTGTTTGGGTTGGGGTTCTGCTGAGCCGTGCTTCTTTTTTAATGACTGGAAAATCACAGGAAAACAGACATCTGTTGTCATCTCAGAGGTGATAAATAGTGTGTTTGTATATTAATGCAGTCAGGTCTGAAACACAGGAATGCTTCTTCAGGTATCCCTGATGATTCCTTTTTTGGTTCACAAGGCAGTGTAGTCCACACTTATGTAGATCTATGTCAGGCATGAATAGGAACTGAAGGCCTTAATGGGATACTCTAGCATTTTTCAACCGTCTGTATATTTTCTGTGTCTATAGCGTATTGTTGATTACCATGGACAGACCGACACATTCCCCTGTGCTTGGTAAAGAGCAGAAAACCTGTTGACTCTAAACGTACTAATAATAGAAACCATTGGGCAGTTGCAGAATTCCATGAATAAACATTTGAAACTACAGCCATGACACCAAGACGATACAGTTCTTTGGAATAAGACATGAGAAAACATTGTACCAAAGCTGTTCTTATGAGCTTTTGTCCAGATTTTGGACACTGGAGCCACGCAATAAAAGAAAAAGTTCGGGTTACGTTCACTTTTCTTAAGGCTTTTTGGTATCCATGCATGCATCACTATGTTGGTAACATATTACCACAATAATTCCATCTGGAGAACTAGTTTTATCTCTGAAAAAATGAATTAAACAGATTTACAGCTCTATTTGATTCAAGAATTCAAGAAAACGCTCTACAAAAATACGCTTCACAGACGAAATTCAGCAAATGCCCATTAACCTCTGCGATGTGAACAGGTTTTCTGCTCTTTCCAAAGTACAGAGAAATGCTCAGAAATGATCATCCCTGGTAATTGACTCTACAGATGCAGCAGATAGAGATTAGATTAAAAATGCTGGAGTATTCCTTTAAAAGCCTCAAATTACTTGTACTTACATTGTAATCTAGCTTATAAATGATGACTGGCATTGATGACTCTCTTTCAGGCACCTGCACAATAACAGAATCCAGGAGATTGGGAAGAACTGTTTCAATGGCTTGGACAACTTAGAGACACTGTGAGTTGCTATCAAGAATACATTCATAGATTTAATAGATCATCATCCTATTGAGACAATTAAAACCCTCATTTCACACTGATAGCAGTTTTAGATTATAAGAAATCCAAAAAAAGGAAATGTAAAGGTACATAGACAAAGTTACATTGGTTTAAATGAAGCTATTGAAGGTCTATAGTAACTTTGCTGCTGTTGCTCTGGTGCCCTCTACAGCCAGGCTTAGGAAGGGTATGACAAACCACAGTGTCCCTATCAGTCAATCAATCAATCAATCACTCATTCAGTCTGTTGGTCATGAAGTGAGTATAATGTTGTGAATCTGTACAGAAGCTGCTTCAATGTGATAAGCATTCATTAGTCTCTGTTTAGGCTGTGATTTATCATCATTTTAAAAACACTATGATGACACTTTCAGTTTACATCAAATCAGCCAACAGACGGTCATTTGTATATGTTTCTGTTCATGCTACTTGTCTTGTGTATATGAGGCACCAGTAGTGTTTACATTGATGTTGGATGTAGTTACTCCAGCACACAGCTATTGGCATCTATTTCTCAATGTGTCACTGTGGCTGTGTGTTCTTCTATACAGAAGATACGCCTCCTGTTTTTTCCTCTTGGCTTGTGTTCTTCAAGGAGAAAGTCTAATTTAACCTTTTGTCCGTGGAGCTGAAGGGCCATCTATTTATTAACGTGAAAAGTCGAAAGTGCTAATGAAAAACATAGCAAGCCTGTTTAAATCCCATAACTGGGCCTCCTCGCCCCCCACGTATCTCTCTCTCTCTCTGTCTCTGTCCCCTTCAGCGAGTGGAGGAAGGGGAAGGGGAAGACAGATAGCTATCGCTGACTCTGCTTTATTTACTCTGGCCGCAATTAGGGCAGGAAAAGGACACGCCAACGTCCTCTGTCCCTTGAGGGGGCAGTCAGACAGGGGACGGGGGGCATTAACTCGGGAGAAGGGGGCAAAATGCCAGAGAGTGTCTTGTGGCAGCTAAGACAAACAATAACACAGCAAGGAGTTGAACTGACAGTCTCTTCAGACTTATTGCTAAACAGGCAGTGATGTGAATACCTGGCAGTGTGTGTAGAGGGACACGGGGTTTTTCATCCAGCCTGTCATTCTAAAACTGGCTGTATATCAAATGTAACCAAACTGCATCTAATTTAATTCCAGCCACCGTCAGATTTCTCAAAACTCTAAACTCCTAGAAGTTATTGCTGTTTAGGTAACTTTTCACCTAGTTTTTCCCCCCATTGGCCAGTTCCCACCCACTAGCTAGGTCTCCCCTTCACACAGTGCTAAGAGAAAATGCTAGCATGTGCTTCCACTGAGACACATGAAGGAAACCATTGAATCTTGCCACTAATGCAACGTCACACTCAACATGCTTGATGGAGACCACTAACTGCCAGTTCTGTTACATCAGCGAATAGATGCTTCTGTTGGGGACAGTCAAGGTCATCTCATGAGTGCTGGGGGGGAGAGGGAGCGCCATCCTACCCACCCACCCAGGAAGAGCCTCTATCCTTGGCAATGCCACAGCCATCTATGGCCAGGAGTACCTACTCTCTCTGGGTGGGTAGGTGGACCCTCAGTCAATCAGCAGGTGTCTGTTAGCTGACATAAATTGGCAGTTAATGTTCTCCTCTAAGTGTAACGAACTGTCCAATGATGTTGCATTCGCTGAAATTACTGGACCTCACCCACAATGCTAGCCTTCGCCTTCCAAGCTTGGTAGTATCAGATGATGGGGGGATGACCTAACTACTGGTAGAAAATTGGCATAACTAAATAGAGGTAAAGGGTTAATAAAAAAGACAATGGCAAAAATATGAACAAACAAGACTGTACACAGAGAAATAATAATCCACAAAATGTTAGAAGCGTGCACCATTGAGACCTATGAGTGTTAAGGATTTGAGGTGCTTTTTACCGCTGTGGTGGTGTGCCTCTTCACACTGAATAAACCCTCATTGAATCGTAGGGACCCATTCAGAAAACCAAATTCAGAAAATCCATTTATTGCTGCTGGTGCTCTCAGCTTGCTCATTAGGGCAAAAACAGCACTTTACTACATTGGTTAAAAAGCATTATACAAATAAAATTGAGTGGATGGGGTACCCAATTAGAGCAGCTATGCTTGTGGTTATCCTACCAACGGAATGCAACCTCAAGTCTAGCACTAAAGCTAATGCCTGAGAATCAGCATCTTAGATGGATTTCAGACGGCTTTGGTGCTGCATTAGAATTAGAGTTACAGCTAGAATAGGCAGTAAAGCAGCTGCTGAGCTCGGTGAGGTGTGTTGGCCCTGCTTATGTTATATAATCACACTTTTTATGCTCTTCTCAGAGACCTCAACTTTAACAACCTGAAAAGCTTCCCAGAGGCCATCCAGACTCTGCCCAAACTGAAAGAACTGTAAGTACTCTTTCCTCCATTGTTCTCTCTCACTTGCTCTCTCTCTCTCTGTGCATGTGTGTGTGTGTGTGTGTGATTTCGGAGGAAATTGCAGAGTGTAAGGGGTTGACCGCATTACCTCACAGATCAAAAGAAAGCAGATTGTCTTTGCCTCCCTCTGACAAGAGACAAAAGAAACAAAACGTAGGTGTGAAGCAGGTGGGAGTTTATTCAGGCCAGGTGCACATGACCCGCCCACCCCTTCACAACCTGTCCATCACTCTGAAAGAATGGGGGCAGGAAAAAGAAACTAAAGTACCACTGTGTTCATGACATTTGTACAGTAAAGACAATTACAGTGTTGCGTAGGCCTAGAAAATACATCCTCGCTGTCACAACAAAAGCTTGTACCTCCGAAATGGTGACTTTATAAAGGAAAGAAAAACAGCTCTTAGCTTTTGTAAGTTAATGTAACAGGTTTTTATTCCAAGTAATTCTGGAGCATTTCTGCTGAACTGTTTGCCATGAAGTGTGATACAATGTAAAGCACAAATGGAATTTCCAAATCACATAAAAATGCAAATGAACTTAGTTATAATATGACTGCCAGGATATATAGATTTACACACTTTATTAATTCTATACTTGAATGAATAAACCAGTGGCTTAAAATTCAGTGTGAGTAATATGATGATATTTATTGAGTTATGATAAATTATGTTGCATTACTTCACAATATGCTTTCATGTGGATAGTACTGACTGCATGTTTCATTACAAAGAGAGCATAATAGTCATGTTTAATTAGATTTATTACCCTAAGTAATACGATTATACCGTATTATTGCCATGCAAGCTAATAGCAATTGATCTCACAAGGGATTTTAAAACATTACAGAGATAAGAAACCTTTTTTTTTCTAATCCACAAAACTAAAACCAACATTAATCATGCAGTACACATTCCGTAGGTGTTCACTTTACAATGAGAATTTAATCATAATTTCAGTTTTACTCGCTCTTCCAAAGTCATATTTCCTATTATCTTTGCTAAACCATAATTTCCTGGGTTTCTAATGATATGACCAATCAAATCCAGACTATAATTCATTTCATTTATTTCATTGGCTCAGCTTGTCTTAATATGAAGAGAGAGGACACTGTACATCTTTTTGCTTTTTGCTAATTCTACCACAGTTTCCAGAGAAATATTGATGTTTTGCCCCAGCATTTAAGTGACTTCACAGGCCTTTACATTCCTTTACATACAGTCCAACTGTGAGTCAGAGTGCCATCTAGTGTTTGTAAGTGGTATTGCTGGATGACTCATCTTTGGAAAATTGATCAGTAAGAAGCTATTCCAAGTGCTGTGTGAGTCTCAGGGATGCTATCAGTGGTTTTACTATAGCCATTTAATTTAACTTTCTCTGTTTTTCTTTTACAGTGGCTTTCATAGCAATAATATAGCCACCATACCAGAGGCTGCTTTTCATAAGAATCCACTGCTGCGCACAATGTAAGTACATTATGAGTAGTGATATAATACTGTGGACACAAAAGGCACAAAATGTGAATAAAATCACAAGCATTCAGACATTTTTATTCATGAATATTCTGCAAAGTCAATGCTCTGAATTTTTATACATTGTCTCTGTGTGTCTGCAGTCATCTCTATGACAACCCTCTCTCCTTTGTGGGGAGGTCAGCCTTCCAGAATCTGTCCGACCTGCACTCTCTGTGAGTTAGCATTTTAAGCATTTTACTAAAAATTCAGTGTTTACATCTCTCATAATCAAGCCTAGGGCTCAGCTTATATGTTAGGAAAAATTCACATTGCGATATTTCAAGTTTTTGCAACAAATATTGCGATTTATATTTGAGGACAAGAAAGGAGTTACAAATTTACCCAGCTCATTTGTTTGCTAGCAAAGCTAATTATTTTGGAAAGGGTGCTATAAAGACCTATAGTAATAAAGTCCTATAATATTCTGATTTGCTCGATATAAAGGTCATATTCCTTCAGTACTCTTTATGGCTGCATGATACATATGTGCCGGACATCTAAGTGCCAGTATTATGATTATATTGCTACATGTTGCAATTGCAATTTGAGTTGCAAAATATTACAGCACATTAGAGAATCATATGAAAAATTGTAATTGGTCAGAGGGCTTATTTACATGTAGCAGTGCTTTTTCAAGATCATTATTGTAAAGACAAGTATCACAATAATGATTAACAAACTGTATATTTTGCAGTCCTTCTCTGTCTTAGTAAAGAACATCTATATACCTCTGATAGTCATCTGGCACTTTCTTCAGGGAACGATGCAGTTCACCTCCCACATGAAGTGACTTGAAACATTTTTTTCTGTGTCATCATTTTAGTCATGATGTTTGTTTTCATTGTGTTTTGGAATAGATATTAATGTGTGTGTGTTTGTGTGTGTGTGTGTGTGTGTGTGTGTGGTTTAGAATGCTCCGTGGTGCCAGTTTGGTGCAGGACTTTCCCAGTCTGACTGGAACAGGGAATTTGGAGAGCCTGTGAGTTTTAAACAAGACACCATTGTGCTGTAATATAAACCTATTATGTCTGCCTGATATGGACAAAATACCTTATGTAAGAATACCTTATCCTAACTTGATTATAAAGCTACACATTGTGATTGCGATATGCCTTGCAATATATCTAAGTAGCGTTTTAAAATGTGACATGGTTAAAAATTGGCTTTCGTTATGTGTGTCCATAATCATTTCCATTAGAGGACTCAAATTGACGTGTTAATTCAACCAAACACCATCAGAACATCCAGGATGCTCATGGCACACAAAACATTCAGCGATTGGCTAGATGCTCATTTGCAGTGTAGTATCAGTACTGTTAAAAGCCAGTTGGGCGATAATGATTAACAAACGGTTTAATGTGAAATGCTTTTAAAACAGAAAGCAGTGATTAGTAAATTCTGTTTGACCTGTATTAAAATGTAATTAGTATGGAATCGCAATACTTTATGTTTTACCTTACTTTTTTTGTAAAATATGCTCATATTTGGTGCCAGCAAAAAATGTGACAAAGTCACGTTTATCACTGCATTACATCACCTTACCTTTTCCAGTCATGATTGATTTTATTAGTAATTGAATTAGGACTGGTGATATATTCCCAGCAATTTAGGGGATATTAAATTAGCCAACATTCTGAATATTATAGTGATATTATGCATTATATATGTTTTTGTGCGTTTTAGGTGCGTATAGTACGTGTTAGGCCTCATTAGCAAAATGGAAACCTCAAGCGATAATGTAGGGCATGTAAAGGGTGTCCGAATAGCACAGTGTAGGGAGCGGGAAATTCTGGAAAACTGCTCTGGATAAGAGTAGATATACTGAGAGAAAAATGGGAGGGTAAAATTTAGTCACCAACTTAAACTGCATACCCTGGAGTACAAGAGAACTATGACATCATATGATTCAACTTTGTGTTCATTAATTGAAAACAGACCTTGATTAGGTTTTATTAGATTTTTACTGTATTTTAGTTCTTATTGTGGTTAACATTTTGTATCTCAACACAATTTCTTTCTTTTCAAGCTCATTGCATCTATTGAAGCATGTCTAGTCTACATTCTGTCCCTTCTGATTGAAAAAAAATAATAATAACAAACCATGCGGAGATGTTAACTGGGTAAAGAGGTTAATTCAGTAATATTTAGTTACACTTGAAGATCTTTGCATTTTCTGTCCAGCTTAAGTGTCCCAATAGTTTGGGTGAGTTGTAAAATTATAAAAAATTATGAAAAGATGGTTTTGTACAGTTCATGATAGCTTAATTCCAGAGCAGCATTAAGCACTTATTTTTTAGATACTCATCTTCTCGAACAGAGCATGTGTAGCAGTCTGGATTTTCTGCATACTTTAAAGAGCGATGTGTGAAATAGTTTTTTAAAAAATGTTGTTTCTCAGTACTATAGCATTAGAGTAAGTGCAGCAAATCTTGTCGAAGAAAATCATAATGTAGGCTGTAAAAAAAACAAAACAAATGGAGATGCACTGAGAATTGATTTAAAATCTTGCCACCCTGAATCAAAATCTAATTGTATCATGAGGTACTTAGAGATTCCCATCCCTAATATCCATCAGCCTCTGTTTCTCACTGTAAGAGAGACCAGTAGGAGAATTTTAAATGCGCATGATCTTCGTGCAAACAGCAATCTAATCAGTGGGAAGATTTTAAACTTAAAGAATTCTAACAAGAACTTTGAACATGTTTGTGTGTTCTCCAGCACTTTAACAGGCACTAAGATCAGAGCCATACCTGAGGATCTGTGTGAGGACCTCTCTGTGCTCCGCACACTGTGAGTTACACCTGTGTTTGTGTAAAGAATTATGTTTTGTTGTACATTAATAATAATATCTTACATGGATTTGCCAAATTTCATCACCAGCACATTTGATTTAACATAATGAAGTATTAATTACCCAGGTGCTGGGTAATAACTACAATTAGTACTGAGCTGCCATGACGAAAGGTTTGGAAATGGTTAAGCAAACACATTGATGTAAAATCGCTCAGTGTGTTAGTTATTTTTATTTATTCTAATATTAATGTTTAAATGGGCTAATAAATGCTTTTTGTCCAGATAAACAGCAGATAAACAGCTAATTCTAATTTTCTGATGTGCCGAAATCTGTTACACAGTACAGTACATTGCCATATAGTTACTACACAGTAGTAAGGGTGTAATCCATTGACATCTTAAAGCTTCTGCCTTTTATATCTGCTATTGGAATCACCAAACGTAAACCACCATGGACAACTGTGAAAATAATTTATGTAAAACTATACGACAGAAACTCGTTTTAAAATGGAATGGAAAGCTTATAGGGGAAAGAATACATTTTTAGAAAGTCTACAACTTACTGCATTCTCTGCGAAACATAGTGGAGGTAGTGTCATGGATTCGGTATGCAAAATAGCTTCTGAATCTACTTTATTCATCCTTTAACTTAAGGGGAGATACTCAAAAACCTACCAATTTACAAGAAAATGCCTCTTGAACCTTTGATGATATTTTAATATGCAGCAACACAGAGCCTCAAAGTACACAGCCAGGTCAACCAAGGAGTTCATCAGGGGATGTAGTGGAAGGGTCTGGAATCTCCAACGTAATGTAGACAAAAATACTTGGTGCTACCAAGATTGAAGCTTCTGACCCTTTAACACAATCTGTTTCTGATACTTCTTCCTTGCACTTTCTTTTCGAGATATTTATTCTTCGCCAAAATGGGATAGCTTTATTCCAAAAATGCCCCAAAATGAATGAAATATTTTTTACCCCCTTAAATTATATTAATATAAAATAACCTTATGTTAAATAACCTTGTATACAAAATGTTTGAGTATAGCATAAAAAACCAATATGGCATGATGGTACTAATACAGTTAAAGGGTATTTTACATGTCAGTCAAGTAATCAACCACTATCTTAGGTTTCAAACCCTATTGTGCTCTCACATGCATTTATGCAGACACACACATACACACACACACACACACACACACACACACACACACATACTACTGTCTAATGGGCCGAAGTGCAGTGTGCTCTGCAGCAGGGGCACTGCAGAGCGAGAGCTGTGAGAGGGTTTAAACTCAGCTCTAATGACCTCCCAGAGGAGCAGCACACACAGACACACGCATATACACACACACACACACACACCCCCACACACACACACACACTACCTGTTATAGAGCTGTGTTTGTGTGTCTGATGCATGAGGCTTAATTTATTTGTTGTGAATGACTCTTTTTCAATAAAGTCTGAGTTGCAAGCACTATGTGTAATTGTATATAATGTGACATATTAAATGTAGTGTAATCAAATGTGTATGTGTGTCCCAATAGAGATCTATCCTACAATGAGATAGAAGAGCTGCCATCCTTTCAGGGCTGTGTGAGTCTTCAGGATGTGTAAGTATCTCCCTTTTTCTCTGTAGCAATATCATTGTCTTGACATATACATTTAGTAATGCACCAAAATGAAAATCCTCGGCCGAAACCGAAACAAAATTTAGGACACGCCAGGAGAAAACTGGAAAAGCTAACAATAAATAAACAGTTTACATAAAATACTTTCTAAAAATATTAAAGGATGTAGGCTACACTGCATCCCATGAAATCCAGCGTCCTCGACAACAGAGAAAGGTTTGTCATCCAAGAAAATGAATTGTCTCATTTTTTAATTATGATTTGCACTTTAGAGCTGTCTTTGGTGATTTGTTAGTTCAAACACTGAGGCTACAGATGGTGTAAGTGTGCTAGCAGGGACTTTCCCCTTTGCTTCTGTTGTTTTACTGTAATCATAGACCTTCTATAGCATCATTCAAATTTTTGTTTCTTAATTTGCTTCATGACATTGTGTTGCATCTCTCTGTGATTTGTGTAGAACCGTACAACACAACCACATCCAGCAGATAGACAGAGACACCTTCCAGGGGTTGACCAGCCTCAGAGTGCTGTAAGAACACTTATATCTTATCCACAGTGAATTTAAGACAGTAAACAGCCTTCTCTGTTGTTTTTCACTGTCATAATACTTATAAGTGTGAATGTTTAAATTTCTTTACCTGTGTGTTTTATCACCATGCAGAGACCTGAGCAGAAATCAGATCAAGTTCATCCATCGAGATGCCTTCCTCTCTCTCAGCACTCTGACTAACCTGTGAGTCCACTATAAGACTGCTCTCCATCAGCTAGAACAGATAGTATAGTAATCTTAACTGACAGTGTTTATGTATAGCTAATCATAATGTAAAGGCATAATTTGGTAAAAAAAATCTTTCTGTACCCCAAATAGGGTGGGAGGTATACCAGTATAAAAGTGAATACCAGTATGACACTTTCTTATGATGGATTTTGCTATATGTGAACTCCATGATATGCCCAAATACAATGAACAACAAACAGGCCCACCTCTGGGACATGAACATGAGCACATCAGCAGACATTAATGTTAACAAAAGCACTATTTAGACAAAAACAAAAGTGAGCATCGATCCTGCGTTGCATTGACCTTCGAACGAGCAGGGAATGATTTTTTGATATCCTGTCGCTGCAGAATATCAAAAGCGTGTAGTCTATATTTCAAATCATCATGATTATTTTATTATGAATCATAAAATAATCAGATAAAATGTGAGTTTGGAGTGTTTGAGTTCCCCTTAGAGTTAGTTGGCCAGCTTGAGCACTGGAGTACTTCACTGTGTATGTGAATGCTGATACATTTAGATACAAATCAGATACAAATCTGATTACTGAAACCACTTTAGGAGGTGGTCTAACGCATTTGAACCATGTTATAGCAGTGTAAACACATCCGTCTCTCCAAGATAGAAGTGGCAAAATCACAAGCTTTGAGCATAGCCAGTACAACAATTTGGAATGTCCTGAAAAAAATAGAAACCACTGGTGAACTAACAATTAGACATCGAACAGGTCACCAAAGATAAGCAGCAGCAGTTGATGACAGAAACATTGTGAGAGCTGTAAAAAAAACCCCAAAAGCAACAGTCATTGACATCACCAGCAACCTCCACAGGACATAATGCTCCACGGGGCATTATCACAATCTAATGTTCAAAGAAAACTTAAATAGCGGAAATATAGAGGCCATACCTGGCCATATATCTGCAGTAAGAATTAGAAGGTCCGATTGGAATGGGCAATGAAATACAGATATGAGTGACAAAAGTTCTGAAATAGTGTGAAGAAAGAAAGGATCTGCTCATGATCTAACACATACAAGCACATCGGTCAAGCATGGTGGAGGTAGTGCCATGGCTTGGACTTGCATGGCTGCTCCTGGAATGGGCTCATTAGTGTTTATTAATGATGTATCTCATATGATAGCAGCAGAATTAATTCAGAAGTCTACATAAACATTATGCAGAGAAATGCACCCAATCTAATCAGGGAGGAACTTCATCACTCAGTAAGACAATGACTTAAAACACACTGCCAACACAACAAAGGACTTCATCAGGGGAAGAAAGTGGAGTGCCTTAAACTGGCCAGGTCAGTCACCAAACCTTAACCCTATTGAGCAGGCATTTCACCTACATGAGACTGAAGGGAGAAACCCCCAAAACAAACAACAACTGAAAGAAGCTACCATGAAGGCCTGGAAAAGCAGCACAAATGAATAATTGTTGGGCACTGGCTTAATGCAGTTATTACAAACAAGGGATATGCAATCAAATATTAAGTGTAATTTCATTTCCTTTAAGATAATCTGTTCCTATACTTTTGCTCACCTAAAAATCGGGTGGCCTACCACCAAATGTGCCATGTTCTAAGTTGTTTAACACATCTGGATGTAAATATCGGGAAAAGAAAGCTGAGATTCGGATCTGTCCTCTCAGATTCATCTTTTGACCTCACACCCGAATATCCATAGTGTATAGCAAAACAAAAGAATTAGCCTGGCAATTCTAATACTTTCAGAGCAGATTGTATGTCATACATTTAGTAGGTGTGTTTTCAGTTCGGTTCGGTTTATTTGTTCATAAACTTTTAATACTGACAGTAAACAGTGCAAAGTAGAGTTGAGGATAAGTGGGAAGGAAAAACAGTCAGGAGAGGAGGATGTAAGAGAGGACAACTAAAAACTGGTTCCATAGAAGGGACTCAAGAAGCTACTAGAGTGCATGTTAGCATTTATACAGGACAATAAACCTTGTATTATTAATCATTTTTTTGATATCACACAGTTGTCATCAGAATAGAGGAAAATACTGTAATATATATTTGAGTTCATATCATCCACCCCTAACTCCAGATGTCAATGAGCCAAGACATGGTTTGTCTTTAGTTCTTTAGTTTTGCACTGGGTATGCGAGGATAATCAATCTCAAAAAGACGTTTGTTTGAACACAGCATAACATGCTCATCTTAAATAGCTGAAACCAGTACTAGCAGTTATATTGGTTTGCATGATGCTAATTGAAGACTATAAGCTTCTTTTACTAGCAAGCTACGTTAGCCTCAAAGCTCCAGAGCAAAAACTAAAGAAACAAACTTCAGACAACAACCATATCTTGTCTGATTGACTACAGATGTTTTCTCTGTGGTATACAGAATGTAAATCTATGTAGCAAAACAAGCAATGCTAAATTTTGCCATGTATGAATGTGTTTTTTTGTGTGTGCATTAATGCCATTTTTGTCTCTCCAGCGATCTGAGCATGAATTTTTTAGCCAGCGTGCCCACAGCTGGACTAAACGCCCTGAACCAACTCAAGCTGGCGGGCAATCCGGACATGAAGAACAGCCTGACCGCCAAGAGTCTGCCCAAGCTCAGGTGAGCAAAGCCAAGTAGCTTTGACTGATTACAGCTCACTCAGGTCTCTTCCATGTCCTAGTTCAGTTAGTTTGAATAATGACTTTTTCCCCTTCACCTAAAGTCAGCTTTTCTTAAACAAACACTTAGAAAGATTCCTTGCGTTTCAGTTCAGATTTAAGTTTGACCATTTTCGTCCAATTCACCGTCTGTCTTTCTGTTCTCCCCTTTGTGCTTGTGTGTGTGTAGGTCTATATCAGTGCCCTATGCATATCAATGCTGTGCTTTCATGGCCTGTGACAGCACACAGAGTTCCCCCGAAAGTGAAGAAAAGAGGAAAGACTTGGGTATGAGATGTTTGAATCTATGAAAAATCTTATCCAGAGCATTAAATTGTTCCTCAGTTATAATTCAGTGCTAGTTTATGTGTTCAGTAGACACGTTTGTGCTTCTATATGGCAGGCAGTTTAAATTTGTAAGAATGTGCCAATGGCCAGGACCAGCATGTAAAACTGTATTTTTTTCCCCTGTGTGTTTGTAGGTGGTGATGAGGAGATGGAAAGGGTTCCTCTGGTTATGCACTGTTCTCCTTCCCCAGGTAGATGCACTGCCTGTATCCTCATTTTCCTCCTTCTACTTTTTTTTCTAGATCAGTGACAAGCAAAATGAAAAACAATTTGTACAGTACTGTGCAAAGAACAGAGCCCAGTGTTCATTTATTTAATTTACAATCAAAACTGGAAAATTTTGAAAATGGGACTCCCACCAACCATGCTGGTGGACCACCAAAACTTTGTTTCAGATCTGAAAAAATCCGCAGGCGTTTCTCTCCATCCTTCCACTGTGAGCAGACAGCTCAACACTTTGGGTCTGAAAGGATGTGCAGCTGTCAAGAAACTGTTACTGAAAAAGAAAGTAGACAAAAAGTAGAATATTTGCACTAGAACACCAAAGCTGGACTTGTTAGACATGATGCAAGGTTTTATGGACTGAGGAGTATTTGTCATTGGGATTACGTCAATCACAAGAAGCAGAAAACCAACTTCTGAGACTGAAATTTGGAGGCAACAATAGATTTCTTTAAAAAACTAACATGTCTCACAAAAGGTATGGAAACTTTAATGAGGGCAAAGGGTTGATATGATAAATACTAGGGCTTAGTTTCAGTATTTAGTTATTTAGTTGTTGAGGCTTCTGTGTAATTTTCTGTTACTTTTTTTCTGATGTTGAAATAGTAACTTTTAAGAATAAGTTTTACATAATGGCCATTTCAATTGGAAATCCAAAGAAGGGTGGTCTTTGGCTTTTTTTGCGCAATACTCTAAGTTTTATTTTATTATGTTATTGTCAATAAAATGCTTTGTTAGTTTTACAATATCATAGCTGTTTTAGATCAATTTGTGTTGGATATAAGTAGCAGGAGCTAAAAAGCACCAGCAGTCCTAAAAATTCCCTTGTATTGGTCCATATTTATTGTTTAATTCTTCCATAATGACACTTATTGTACTTCTATAGGTTTCTGGTCATAGTTTAATTCATCTGATTCTGTAAATTAATGCTCATGATTTACTTGTAGGAATACTTTAACTATGGCTTTGTTGGTTCTTTCAGGGGCCTTCAAACCGTGTGCTCACCTGCTGGGGAGCTGGATGATCCGACTGACCGTATGGTTCATCTGCCTGGTGGCACTCCTGTTCAACTGCTTGGTGCTGGCTGCCAGCTTCTCCCCCCGCGCCTCTCCACTCTCCCCTGCCCGGCTGCTTGTGGCTTTACTGGCCTCCTCCAACCTGCTGACAGGCCTGTATGTGGCTGCTCTGACCCTATTAGACGTCGTCACCTGGGGCTCATTCGCCACCTATGGTGTCCGGTGGGAGACAGGCGCCGGTTGTCAGGCACTGGGCGTGCTTGCTGTCTTTTCGTCTGAGTGGGCGGTCCTGTTGTTGCCGTTGGCCGCCGTAGAGCGGAGCCTTGCTGTTCGGGCTCTGATGGGCAAGGCGGGCATTCTGAGGGGGGGTGGAGGCGAGCGAAGAGAGGGACGCAAAAGGTTCGGCCTGGCTGCTGCCCTGCTGGGTCTCTTGGCTGTGGTAGCCGCTTTTCTTAGCTTGTATCACGGTTCAGCTGGCGGGTCTCCACTTTGTCTGCCCTTCTCCGGAGGTCCAGGGCCAGGCCTGGGCGTGACGGTGGCACTCGTCCTACTGAACACTCTGGCCTACCTGCTGAGCGCAGTGGTCTACACCCGTCTGTACTGCGGCCTGGGACGAGCACGACTGGCCGATCCAGAGCAGGCTGGCTCCGTCCGGCACGTGGCCTGGCTCATTTTCACCAATTGCATCTTCTTCTGCCCAGTAGCAGCCTTCTCCTTCGCCCCCTTGCTGGCTGGTGCTGGAAATGCAGCAGGAGGTCCAGAGATGGCCAAGTCAGTCACTCTGATTTTCTTCCCTCTGTCAGCTTGCTTGAACCCAGTCCTCTATGTCTGCTTCAATCCCGCCTTCCGACATGACTGGCTCCGCCTAAGGGGACGGGGCAGGGGTGGAGCCTGTGATGGAAGAAATGGTAAAGCTGTGGCAGTTGGGACTGGATCCGGAGGCTCGTCCAGGGCGGGAGAAAGTGGGGGCTCGTCCGGGACAGGAGAGCTCGGTTACGAGTGTGGGATGTACACTCAGCTTTGTGAGCATTGTGAGGCGGCCCTCCTGGCTAGAACATCTTCATCATCTGCTTCTTCATCGTCTTCCTCGTCCGCCTGCAGACATTTAGTGAAGTCGCACAGCTGTCCAGCTTTAGCAGGTGCTGAGGCTCCTTGCCCGAGGGCCGAGGGCTGCTGGGCGGACAGCGGCACCTTGTGGGCACAGTCAGAGTACGCGGATGAAGGTGACTCGTTTGTGTCGGACAGTTCCGAGCAGGTCCAAGCGTGTGGACGAGCCTGTTTCTGCCAGAGCCGCGGCCTGCCATTAGTACACTACTCCTACAACATCCCGCGTGCCAAAGACTGAGCCTGTCTGTGCACACACACTAGGGCTGCACAATATATCATTTGCTAATCCTTCACACGGTATTGGCCTTCAAAGTACAGATATTGCAAAAGTGTACAATATGCAAATGAGCCTCGAACCAGTGTTTTATTATGTGCTTTGAGTGTCCTGACCAATCACAGTCATTCTTTATTATTGCAACGCGTATCGCAATCGCAGTGTGTAGCAATATAATCGCAAGGTGTTTTGTCCATATCGTGCAGCCCTAACACATACTCACACATTTACACCCTTCACTCGGTCACTCACTCGTGCACTACGGCTTGCCCACTCAGAGTGGACCCACTCGGTGAGGGCAGACAGAAGCACAGCATGCAGGGAACAGCCGGGGACACAGCCAGTCAGGAAGCACTTTTTTCCCCAAAACACACCTATGCGTGTATGTGTGTGTGTGTGTGTGTGTGTATGCGTGTGTGTGTGTGTGTGTGTGTGTGTGTATGTGTGTGAACAGACACTGACCCCTCGTCTGGAAAAAAAGGGAAACTGACAATACACAAAAGACTCACTGAGCCAAATGTTGTCAGCAAAGGACTTGATTTGCTTTCTTCTTTTTTCATTTTCATGGCCAGATTTGTGGCTGCAGAAAACTGACTGCCCACTCCTTGAAAACACACAGAAACCCAACAGCTAGTGCCTGCCTCTCAATCTTCTAGAGAACACGACTTTAATTTGCTAAGATGTTTCTTATTAAGCAGGGATAAATGTGCCATCTCTCAGATGAGAAATTGTTTGTTTTTGTGACGTTGATTTATTTTGTTCTTCACTGTTGTCATTCCCTGTTCTATTGACCTCAATGCATGACAGAACCACAGGATCCTCTTCCATGTAGCAACGTTCATGTATGTGTTAAGAGTTTTAGTCGAGAAGAATGTAATGTAGAGCTGAAGCTTTTGAAAGAGTGAATCTATTTTGATACTGCCTCTCGTCCTTCAGAAATCATGCTAATATTTAGCATTGCCCAGCAGCCATTCCTTCAGACTGTTCAGCCTGTCTTACGGTTCAACTGCAAATGAATTCAGACGGACCCTTGTTTTTGGGGTGAATGAATTGTTTGAAGCTGGAGTTAGAAAAAAGTGTGGACAAGAATTCCAGGTCTGTTCCAGTACTCCCTTAATTTAGATGGTCTTTGGCTTGACATTGCTGATGGTCTGTTAATTTTGTTAGTAACAGAAATTTGTAGAAAAACAGTATTTTCTGATTATAAAAAGATATTGAAAAGGTACTTCATGAAATCATAGCATATGCCAGTTGAATATGGCAGTTTTAAAATGTGCTGGACACTTTGAATATCCCAGATTGTAATCCCTTCTTTTGATGAATGTCAAATGAAATGGCATTTCCTTCTCTCACAGTATCCCCAAAGAACTTGACTAGATTACTTTTAAAGTGCGAGTACTATAATTGCTTTATGTATAGCCCTATTTTCTGAAGCGTGAACAGGTCCAAAGAGCGTACATGTATATTCATGTTCTATAATGATCTACATATGTATTTCACCTTGATCTTCAAGTTGCCATTAAGCTGCCATTAAGATGAAGTAGTGTTGGAAAGTCATTAAAGCATTTTTGCATTTTAGGCCAGCTTCCCTAAAGGCCTTTACACACTGAGTGCAACATTTTATATTATTATATATATATATATATATATATATATATATATATATATATATATATATATAATACACACACATCTCACTCCTTTTGGTCCTTTTGGCCAATCATTCACATCTGCTTTGCAACCCATTTTCTACACATTGAATGAGACATTCACTGCATTGTACCACCTCTTCTCAATCTATGAATTCCGTCGCACACCCTGCAGGTATTTATAGCCCAATCATCCTTGTGCAACTCCATCTGCAGGAACCTGAACCTACTGCTGCTTCATCATGTTTGATTTGTGAAAACCGCAGTCAACTTGAGCTAACTTGACCAATCACGGTTTGGCATGGTAACAGCCAAGAGTCACCATGCCAAACCGTGATTGGTCAAGTGAGCTCAAACTGTTCAGTTGTGTCCCAGCAAATAGTACTTTTTACAAACATCATTAGGATTATATTGTCCTCTGCTTCTTCACATATGGTGTGAGCATCTTCAAAAGCAACTCAAACGTGGCTATGGATATCAAAGCTGTGTGAAAGTTTCAGGTCCTGAATAACTGTAAAACTTTCCGTGCTCCTCTTGTTTTTCCAGAGTGGAGAGAAGCCTGCTCAGTGTCATCATTTGTGAGAAGCAAAGAATATCTCTGTCACTTGAAGACATTCTGTCCTTTTGTTTTGTTCAAAAAGAATTTCCAAATATTTTGCATTTTTCGTGTTTATTTGCATTGCGTTCAGTGTGTAACAGCCTTAGGCCTAGACTAAACTGTATATTCAGAGAGAAAACATTGCCATTGTGGTTTAGTCTGAGACTAGGCTAAGTCCATTTCCATGAAACTTGCCTTTAAGTCCTAAGCCCATGTAATGTCATTGTGAGAGTTCACATATACACCTCTGGAATTGCAGAGGACAGAAATCTTTCCGTGTTTCCTTTGCTTTTGCTTTGATGCAAAATAGCACTACCTTCCTTCAGGCCTTTTGAAGCACATTTGCATTCGAGCTGAATTTTAGTTACGTTCTCATGTTAGTCTAATAAGCTCTTCCAACAGTCGCCGCTTAAAGAAATCTTGGAGGTAACATTTAATGTCACTGACAAATTCCAAATCTTTGTGTGTCTGTTGAGGCGTGTTTATGTGTGTCTGAGAGTTTCAGTATGTTGTAAATTATTTGTATAGGATACATCTAATCAAGAATGGGATGCATCGTCTAACCATGGAAGCTACCTCTGGAACTGTAGTGGCTGCCAGTAGTGTGCAGTGTGAAAGAATGCTTGTCCGTGTTGTATGTTTTCTGTATGATTGTTTCGCTTTGTAAATACATGTAGTTGTACATTGTCACTGAATGAAAGTCACATTTTAGTTTGTACCAATTGTGGGAGGAAATTGTGTACGGTATGCGGTAATTTTTGTAAACCAAACAATATAAACTAAATTGCTTTAAAGTTTCATGCGAATTTCTAATCTGCTTCTTGTATGTTTATCTCAGCCTCCTTTGTGTAATGGATGTCCTGATATGCACAACATGCCCATATACTCTTAAAATAAAGGTGCCAGAAAGGGTTCTGTGGAGCAATTGCCGTTGAAAAACCACCTCTGGTTCCCGAAGAAAATGTAAGAAGTGACTCTTTAAGGAAAAGAACCATATACACAAGACTAACGGCAGTCTGAAGAACCTCTTTAAAGTTTGAAGAATATCTATGTAAACCATACTGGAGGCAGTTGTGGGCTGGCGGTTAGGGAACCAGCCTTGCGACCAGAAGGTCACCGGCTCAATCCCCTAAGCCGACAGGACATGACTGAAGTGCCCTTGACCAAGGCATCTAACCCCCAACTGCTCCTGCACTCTCAGAAAAAAAGGTACACAACTGTCACTGGGGTGGTACCTTCAAAGGGTGCATCTCAGTACCTTTAGTTAGGGAACATAATTGTACTATAATCCATTGAAATTCTGTTTTCTAAGTTGTATTGACTCCACACACCCCGTCTCATCTCCAGGCTTTTATTTTATTGTTTTGTTTTAAAACATGAGGTTAAGAAAAGGTACAAATATGTACTTTTCACCTGGAAAAAAACGTATTTAAGGCACACAATTTGACCTTAAAACCACTGTTGGAACTTTGAGGGAACATTTACATTGTTTGTACCTTGATGAAAATGAAAAATGTACCTGCAGAGTACCTTTATTTCTAACAGTGTGGTGTGTGTGTTCACTAGTGTGCACGTATGTGGGTGTTGCACTGCACGGATGGGTTAAAAGCAAGCACAGTTGGTCAGTGGTTCTAAATTCTAAAGATTTCTTTATTTATTGCTGGTGAAAATGGCTAAAAGTTGTTCATTTCAAAAAATCTTTAAAAGATACAGAGAAAATTGTGACTCCTAAAAGCTGTGAAAGACCACCAAGACTGTCCTCATCAGATAGACAGTACTTAAAGCTTTCATCTTCGAGAGATAGGAGAAAATCAAGCTCCACTCTTGATTCAGATCTGAAAAAATCCACAGGTATTTCTGTCCATCCTTCCACTGTGAGGACGCTATGACTTAGAAAGAAGATGTAGCTTTTTAGAAGCTGCTATTGAGAAAAGTGAATAAACAACAAAGATGAAAATGTGCAAATCAGACAAAGAAGGTGTTTGTGAACAATGGACTGACCACCACAGAGTCCAGACCTCAACACACCTGGGGTTACAGGGATTATGAGAAGCAGAAAATGCAACCAACTTCTAAGACTGAACTTCAGAGCTGTGGAGAAATATCCCTGCAGATTACTTTGAAAAATGTAAACCAAGTCTTGTTGCTTTTCTCCTTATACTGAAAATGAACTTAAGTACTTAATGGCTGTTTTGACTGGATATTAAATAAATGAAAGGGCGATGTCTTACTTTTCCACAGTACTGTATATCCAAGCCAAGAACTATTTAAGAATCTTTCACTTTAAGCATGCATTGACAAATCTCATGACACTCGCCTCATTAGGCCTAATTATTCCTGCTATTAATGCTTAGAGGTTAAAACCAGCTTTAGCCCCTCTTAGCCTCTGCAGCAGAAGTTGGAGTGTGTTCAAGATGTCCAGCAGACTTGGGAAAACAGCAACACTTCAATATGCAGGAGAAACCAACTGAAAAAGTTTTTTTTGTTTGTTTCCATATATCCCACTGTCCCTTTCCAATTGATGTGGTGAACAGCTATTATAATTCATGAGTTCATTTATAAAAATCTAATAGAATTTTCAATGGGCAGCGCAGATACTTTTCATTTCAGTTACAACATGAAATGAAATGAGGGTCCAAGTCAAATACCTGACAAGTTTATTAATCTGGTTAGCTGTGCTGTAGGCTTGTGTTTTTGAATGAAGGAGAATGGAGCAAGACTGCTTATGAATATATTGGGGCCCTTAAGCGAGATCTTAATTGGTGCCGCCCCAATCTTCCCCAGTCATATTATTTTGCATGCTGAAATGATAAAGTGTTAATAATTAATTTGTGTGGATGATTAAAAAAATGTGTACTAAACAGCTGGTGCTTTTTAACATACAGTATTAAAGAGCCCATATCCTACTTTTTTTTTTTAATGTAGTTTTCCCCTTGTGACATTTGTGTGGTTTTGTCTAGTCGTATACACCCTCAGTCAGATTAAGTTTAAGTGAAATTAAGGTGACACATTCTCTACAGGGAACTTAAATGTGGCAATTTTTCGTAAATTTTAGTGCACAATTTCATTTGTCATATTTTGAGTTTTACATATTGGAAAAGCATCAAAAATGAAAAAGTGCCATAACTTTTGCATAAACCACGTTTTATATTTCATCATTCTTTCCCTAATATGTAAAATTCAGCAATTTAAACAGTAATTGTGTATTAAAATGTGCCAGAGTGTTTACAGTAGAGAATTTACTGTGTAAATGTAAATACCCAAACCTTCACATTTTATTTTTAAATGACCATTTTCCGACCTCTCTCTATCTCGTAAACAGCCTGGTTTTTGTTACTGTGCCTTTAGGATTGATATATGTAAATGAGCTCTGTTTTGACTGGCTGCCCTGTATTGTGTCTCCTTCAAAAAGCAGTCCATGCTGAATCACTGCTTGTAAAATGGGGGGAGTGACCTGCTGTATGCTGAATAGGCGGATACATGTAAATGTGTTGGTTTTTGTGACATCACAAAAACGAATTCCAAACAGGATTTTTGGCTTAGTGTTCGTAATTGGACTGTACAGACTGGAAAGTGAGCCATTCATTTTAAAACCTCAACTGTTTACATCCTGCATCAAACTATTTAATCTTTAAAAAGTGAAAAACGCAAAACATAACTATTTTTTTTTATCAAATATTGACTCTGAAAGTGAGCATCTCTGTATCCAAATATCGCCATACTCTCTACTGAGGCATCCTGCTGGCACTGTTGTCTTTTTCCAGAGCTTCAGCGAGAGCGTGACTGTGTGAAAGAGCAAGAGCTGCCAATCAAATGCAAGGCGCACAAGCGTGGAGACTCCAGACACTGCCTGGAGGAGACAATGGGATTTGTAATAAAGGGCTGAAATCTACTTTTTTGCCTCGTTTTTTTTTACATCTAATTTTCTCCTTATCAAAACCGTAACTCGGGATGGAAAAAATTTGAAGTGCACCCCCTGCAGCTTGCCTTGGAGAACGGCTCTCTGCGGGAATCTTCGGCGAGGTGGCCATAATTGTTCCCATCACCTAAGCGGAAGCTCGTTCAGCTGAGGAAAAAACGCTTTATCACCATTACGACTGATAACGGCTGTTAAACTCTACTTTATAAGGTTCTCATATATAAGTGTAATGGATTACAGAAAGCGTGAAAATGTGGATGGGCCTTCATCTGTAATCAAGGGAGCGCTGTAGATCTGATGGTCATGTAGGCCTATAGCATTTATGAGTGCTTCCATCAGTTCTGATGACTTTGGTACTTGAACCTTGAATCCTTTTGACAGCAGGGACTTATCTTTCCCATCCTAAAACGTACTAAACAGTCCCTGACGTTGGCTGTAGACCTTGCTGTCTGTGGAGAACGGATGGCTTTGATTAGGCAGGGAAGAAGCAAGCCAGGGCTGCCAGGGTTTCCTGTTGCCTTTAATGCTCTCCGGGGTAAACTGATGCCATCCAGGCCGCCCTTCGCCACCAGCAGAGAAGAGACTCATTACTAAGACTAATGTGAGCGTCAGTGCGACTTGATGTAGAGCTCACGACAAGCAATACAGCATGTAATTAGAGATTCTGACAAGGGAGAAACCATGCTGAGGATTTTCAATCGATTCTCGCCACTTTGATGTTGCGTCCCCTCTCTGGCACTAGGTGGCAGTGGTGCTCAGCCGGTTAGGATGGTGATGCTCCTCTGCGCTCTCTTCCACAGCATGCAGTCTCGGTCATGCTCGCTAAACGCTGTAGACGTTCCCCAGCTGCCGAGGTGCCTCTGATCCTACAGTATATCCTCCCATAACCCTCCTCTCGTCCTGTACTGAGCAGATGAATATGCTGTGCTGTCAGGAAAAAGTCCTATCCAAACTGATCCGGCTGCCACAGTGGAGGTAATCCTGAACTAACCCGCTCTGCTGCAGATCATTGATTTTTGAGCGTGTGAGCATTAGATTTAGAAGTCGCTTTTAAAAGGAACAATTGATGTTGCTATTCCAAACTGAAGAAGCGCCCATGTCCTACATTTTCTGCCGATATTTTTCCCGTTTCCTGTTTTATTTATATGGTATTTGTGGAGTTCTACGTACCAAATACAGTTACATGATCATTTCCAACTTATCCTTTTGAATTAACCTCAGTTTTTTTTGTTACTGTGCCTTTAAAGGCCCATAGGAAACCAAAATTTCCTCACTTTTTTTTAAAAAAAAAACAGTTTGTCTGACCACTTATACATTTTAAAACATTCCATTCACCCTTCAAGTCCATACCTTGAATTGATTGTTCAAACCTACAGCAGTTTTGCCCTGCTTATTTACATTGAAGTTATAAGGAAACTGCTTTTTAAATGAGGTACAATACAAGGCAACCAATCACAACAGAGATCATTTACATATTTCTGTGTGATAGGCTCAGTAGACAAAACAGCCTGTTTAATTTTGAGGGAAAGTGGAAAGCTAAGGTTTATGATACACTACATGGACAAAAGTATTGGGACACCTACACATTACACTTATATCCATAGGCATTAATATGGAGTTGGTCCCCCCTTTGCAGCTATAACAGCTTCCACTGTTCTGGGAAGCTTTCTACAAGATTTTGGAGTGTGTCTATAGAACTTTTGCCCATTCATCCAGAAGAGCATTTGTGAGGTCAGACACTGATGTTGGATTGATCTCTGTTGTAGTTCATCCCAAAGGTGTTCGGTGGGGTTGAGGTCAGGGCTCTGTGTGGGCCAGTCAAGCTCTTTCACACCAAACTCGCTTCAGCACTAGACAACCCCACTCTGTGAGTTTGTGTGGTCTACCGTTTCGC